AATAGCTGGTTTTCACATGACGTCACCAAAATTCGAACTACAAAACTATTGATCTTCCTGAGATTTTACTTAAATGATGTATAGGAGCAGCTTAAAACTAATATTCATACAAATTTTCGCTCTGAATGGGCTCTTGGTTTTATGATACACTACGCTTGAATTTCTAAGCTTTTGCGTGACGCGGCATTTACATGTCGACGGCCTAGAGAGCTGTCATGATGGTTAAAAAAGTGACTTATTTCGGGCAACTTGGCTATCTGAACAGTTCATGTCTTAGGAAAAGTATTATTTTGATGTTTTAGAGTTCCTCGAGGGATAAATTCACGCTTTTGTAGCAAAACTCAGTGACAGATGTTTCTGTTGGTTTCCGGCCGCCATGTTGGTGCCCATACGTATGGGCACCAGCATGGCATCTCAATACAAATCTCTATAAATTTGGGTAAAACATTTCTCCGCATATCTCGCATAAGAAAAATTTCTGTCACCAGAATTTTTGGCGAGAGTCTTTGCATATTTACCGTCTTTCATTTCCCAGATTGTGGACTTTATCTATTGACCGGTTTTGATTCTGATTTTGATTTATTTTGAATTGCGTGACACTGAAAACCAGCAATTGTCCTAATACCCTAATACTATAACACCCTAGTACCTTAAAACCCTGACACCCTAACACCTAAATACCCTTATGCCCTAATACTCTAATATCCTTATACTATTATACCCTAATACCCTAACACCCCAATACTCCAATACCCTAATACCGTAATACCCTAATACCCTTATGCCCTAATACACTAATACCCTAATACCCTAATATCCCAATACCCTTTTAGACTAATACCCTGACAACCCAATACCCTAACACTATTATACCCTAATACTTTAAGACCCTAAGACCCTGATCCCTAGCGCGCTAATCTCCTAAGACCCTAATACGTTAATAAACTAATACCCTAATACCTTAATGCGCTAATACCCTTATACCCTAATATCCTAATACCCTAATACCCTTATACCCTGATATCCTAATACCCTAATAACCTAATACCCAAATACCCTAATACCGTAATACCTGTATACTCTAATAGCCTTATACCCCAATACCCTAATACCTCTTAAACTGCAAACTTCTCGGATGCCGACGTTTAGTGTGGTTAGTGCACAGGGAACAGAGGAGTCCTATTTGACCTTTTTTCCAGGTAAATTCGCCATACAATTGTAGCGCGAATCGATTTTTTGTTGAATCAAATGACCTCAGAATCAAACTGTACACATGCGATCGTGTTTCGATGATTAAATCTACTACCAATAGACCTAGGAAGGACATCATTTGCATATCATTTGCATAATCTGCACCACCACTACGCAATCTCCCGGTTAGAAATCTAGGCTATACTTTTCTAGGTGCGCAAATCGTAACATTAAACAAGAAAGCCAAAAAAACGTCTTTAGAAAGTAACAGAATCATGAAATTTGTCCCTTATATGTGACTGTTTTTTACAACTGTATATCAAAAGGGTTACAGGAAGGATTGACTTGATTTTGTTTCCTCTTATTTAGTAGGTTGAAGAGGACGAGTGGATGACGCTTATATGTACAAATACGTCGTTAAGCTTGTAGAACCAAAAGAGTAAGTTGTTTTATCTTTTTGATGGCAAACATTTTTTACTATTCATTATTATTATTGAAGGTTTCAACGTTTGGCGAATTTTATTTAATGTTGCTTTTGTTTGTAGCAGTTTTACTGGTTTTCCTTCTTCCGGCCTAGTGTAGCATGTTTTGGTAATTGTCCACGTTGGTATCATCTGACTTCATGGATTTTGACACATATGGCTTGAAGCAATCACACGCTGAAATAAATGGAAAAGTTCCTCGTGAACTTCGTTCCAGCTTGAGCTTCTCTGGAGTCCTGGACTCCCCCCCAAACCATTTTCCCTGACACATCACTATGCTAATTGTTTTTCCAGGCAGTTTACTGGCGAAAGTTAAATATATATATTCAACTGTAAAAGAAAAAGAAAATCAAACAGAGTGAAAAAGAAATAGTTTTAAATGGTCATTTCACTGACAGGCATAGAAACCAGATGGCCAGTACAACTTTCAAAGGAAGGCTTAAAGACAAATTGTACAAGTGGAAACCAGGTATGGATCATTATCAATATGGAATGTTTAATTTTGAAACAACTCTTGGCTGATCAAGCAAGCATGTAGGTTTTCAGTATTAATTTATTTGATATCACACCTTGACTGAATGCATTTCATTTATATCGGTTTGTCCTTTATTGCACAAGACAGGTAGCACTGTTAAATAATATGTTGGTCAGTTGTAACATAACTGAAGGTGATAAGCGCCTTCTAATTCGTCAATAAGTATATCGGCTATCATATAGGCTAATNCCACTCTGAAGAAAAAAGAAACTGTCAAATTGTTTTTTGTAATGATTCTTATCAATTGGCCTCAATCTAAGTTTGTACGGGGGCTCCTGGTTTTTATGCTCCTTTATCTATCGTCTTCCATCCCCCCTGGCTCCCTACCCTTCCCTCGATTCCGCCAAAGATAATCTAGCAATGTCGACAAGGTGATCAAAATCACTTACAGCGGTTTGATGTAAATTAAGGAGAAAAAGGAATAGAAAGTTGCCAAGCTTACTGTATTGGCTCAACTGATGGCAATTTAAATGATTTTTTTCCCTCAGCACTGAAATCCTTATTTGCCAACCCGCTCTCGACGCTGGCTTTCTGACGTTTGCTTCGGTATTCATCGCGGTATGTGTGTTAATATAGTTCCACATGATACAGTGGCGTTTAATTGCCATTGAGAGTACGTGGTGGTACCACGTGACTTAGTTTGACAATTAAGTGCGACAGACACGTGCTGGATTTTCACAATCAATATTTTGCTTCTTTAGCTTATTATCATCTTGGTTCTCTCTTTTTTAACTCAACGGAGGAGGAACGCGACGCTGTGCGGTAAACCTATCACAAGACCGGGATTGTGTATGTAAGTACATTATTCATTTTGCTTTCTTTCGTTTTATTGGCTGCTCATCCAGCCCTGCACCATCTGAATTCAGTTTTGTTAAAATAGTCATTTGAGAGTCAGAAACCTGATGATACCTCCCCTTATCAATGTTGCTTGAAGTCATGATTACTGCTACCGGACTTGAAATTCGGAGGTCGCGGGTTCCAGTTCCACTCTGACCACTAAGCTGGAGTTGATTCTCGGTAGACCCAAGTTCAACTCCACGGTAATGCGCGTAGATAGCCTGTTGGTCTGCCTCCCGCCAATTAGGATTTTTAAGCCTGTTTCAGTGTTATGTTTAGTTCATATTTTTGTTTCTTTCAGTTTGTGGCATGCTTGTGAACTAGCTAGGTGTACCTTAACGCATTGATCACTGTAAACATTATTACACTCAATTACTGATATATACAGCAACTTTGTAACGACAGAGAAAGAGGGGAGGGGAGGGGGGAGGTCCGACTGAAATTTATGTACTTAATATTAACTAAGTAAGCTTTTTTTTTAGCCCTGTCAACTTGGTAGACAGTTACGAAAACAGGTTTGCCTTTGCGTGCGCGTTTGGTGCCACAACAACGAGATGCTTGTTTATCCTGCTTATGGGTGACTATTCCGCGATCTTCACTCCAAAAATGAACGAATGGTTGAAAGATCCTGCAATTCCTAGCTACACTGCCAGTAAGTTTTCAGAGAGGATTAAAGCTGAGGAATGGCCAGTTCCCTCTATAAGATGCGCCTGCAGGGAATCATGGTTATTTCATTCATCATCTTAGCCTGGATATTTGTTTTACATACATACATACAACTGCCATGATTCCCTGCAGATCCGTCTCATGGAGAAAATGGGCTATTATCTCCTCGAGCCACCGGTTTAACTGATCAGATGGAAAAACAAATCGCGACTTGGTCAGGCATATGTTAGTAATTTATATTTAATGTCAGTAACACTGGACGTGCTTGAGCAATCTCCTGAGCGCCTATTTAATTAAATTAATTAAATAAGATATTAGAAGTTTTTGTCACACAGTTGCTTTGACATCCAATCAAAGCTAACTGTGCTGCTGGAATATTGACACTGAGGTTGCAGATTTTGCAGATAGCGACAAATAATTCCAGATATAGGTTCGGAGGTGACGTAAGGAAATATATTATGCAGAAACTGACTATTGTAGGAATTCTTTACGGTACGAAAAAAACTGACTACTGTGAGGACGTTGTACGATCCAAAAAAACTGTCTATTGTCAAAGTTTGTACGTGTTTTCCTGCTCTTGGCTGGCTGGTTTCGTGTACACGCCTTTAGTTCTCATTGGCGTATTAGGCTTTTCACTGTTTACATTGTACGACTGTGGATCGTTGTCATTTACATGGATTTGGGATTATAATCCTTCAAAAACGGTTCCCAGTCTCTTCTGTCACGGGACATGTCTAGTCACATCTCGTAGGAAAAGTGCTATAGCTAATATTATATCCGTGGTAAACGTCTTTAACTAATTGTCGTTAACTTCTCTTAATTACTCTTTCACAACCGCCGTTAAAAGAGTCTTAAATTGAGAAGAAGATTCCAAGGAAAACTGCTTTCAGTATCAACACGGCACGCGAAAAAATGAAGACGTTTTTACCTTTAAAAACTGATGCAGTTTTTAAATGATAATTGGATTTTGTCAGAAAGATGTAGATGTGTTTTTCTTTTTCCTTAGTTTGTTGGAAGATCTTGGCCATGGTGGTCATCGGAATCGGGTATTATCCACTGTTTGCTTGCATGGCAACTGACTACAAGATCACTGGCCTTGTTATTGGCTTCCTTTATTCTCTCATGTGGTTAGTATGATTTGATTTGTCGTTGCACTTTGAGCAATAATTGGGTAAGATTTCGGAACCTGAAATCCCTGGAAAGCCCTAATGTGTGTTTGTTTTAACTACCGGGTTAAGTAGCGTTAAAGTGCTGGACTCTGAACCTTCGAACCCTGACAGCGTTCATTGTCAATACACTGTATTATCCAACTATTTTTCATTAATTCTGTTTGTATAAGTAGTCTTTTTGGCGTGTGTGTGTGCTTTACGTGCTGTTGCAAGTGTCTTTTTCTCATTTTCTCTTCTAATGTGACCCAAATAAATAATTGCTTTAATCACTAAGAATGGCTGTCCAGTCTTATTAGCCCGTTTATGTTATTTTATTTTAAACTTATTTTTGTATACTTACATTTTAAGTGTGAGTACAAATAAAGTTCCTCTTGTTGTTGTTAATTTTATTTCATGATGATTAAACTCTCGTGCTGGTACTGTTTTCCTTTACAGGATTTCCTTTGAAGCTGCTCAATACATCCAGTGTCCATCCTACACCTCATCGGTAAGAAGATTACGAGGATTCGTTCGTTTATCAGTCGACTTAATTAGGGCCATCGCGTTGATTTTTGAGACAGTGATGTTGCTATTCTTGCTTATACGATAGTCGTCTAGAACCTTATTAGATTTATGTTCAACCATCTCCTAGTACTTTCCAAGACTTAGATTTTGATGGGTCATGTTGTCAGTTGATGCTGCAATCATGCAGTATCAAGGAACAGCCCGATCATTGGTGAACACGTTGTTATCATTTTCGTTACACAATAGGTTACCATAGCAACAGTATTCTAGAGAATTTCTAACGTCATTAAATTATGCTAGATATTCCCTGGAGACAGTCTTGCAGTCGAGTTTCCCGTGTATATTTGCCTGGTCTTCTTGTGCGTGAGGTACTTTGCGTTGTTGGTTAAAGCATTACACACGAGGTGTCGTCCCAGTGCTTCTCCGAAGGTTGGTTAATTCATGTTGCTTCGTTCTCAGTTTTGTAGAAGAAAACCGTGGCAACCGTAGACTATGTTGTGGAAAATTATTAGTTTTATTTTTGTTATTTTAGAGTAAAATTCTAGAGGAAGTGTCTCCAATTAGCTCCATTGGAAACTAATTGGAGACACTTCCTCTAGAATATTAATTAGTAAATAACCATTCTAATCACGTGTTATTTCATCAAAAGTTCGTTACTGATCCGATGATGCGATGTGTGTGGCTGATTCAAATCACGTAACCTCCTCAGTAACTTAATCGCTATAAACAGGATGTTTCCTTTTCTCACGTGGATAATCTCAAAAATGCAACTGTCACTGGGACTGTAAAATGTGATTGTTACATGTGAGAATTATTCGTTATATGTGAGCTTTTTTAATTTACTTAAAACTGAAAAGGCCGGTAAACGTCTTTAGAAATCAACAGGAACACAATTTGTACTTTACATCTGACTGTTTGTTACAACTGTATGTCAAAACGTTTCCAAGAGAGCTTGACTTGATTTGGTTTCTTTTTATTTTTAGGATGAAGAGGACGAGTGGATGACCTTTTATAAGTACAAATACGTCGTTAAGCTTCTGGAACCAATTCCAAAAGAGTAGGCTGTTTTACTTTTGTGTTGGCAAACAAACTTTTCCTGATCTTTTGGAAACGCCTGTTCACCAGAAATTCGTTAACATTGAAATTTCAATCGAATTTTATTGAACGGTGCTTTCGTGGGTAGCAGTTTTACTAGTTGACCTTCTTCAGGCCTAGTGTAGCATGTTTTAGGAACTGTCCACGTGACGTTTGAGTGCGTAATGGCTTCATGGATTGTGACATATATGGCTCGAAACGATCACACTCTGAAACAAATGAAAAGTCTCCTCTCTCTGAGGCTCCTTTCTAATAAGAATCAATTTTCTCGTGATCTACCTCTTTTGGTCACTGTCTTGGAGTTCCCCAAACGATTTTCCCTGCCACTTCACTATGCTATGTTTTGCCAGGCAATTAACTGGAGTTAGTTAAATATACATTCATGTGTAGAGGAAAAGGTAAGGTATTGAACGGTCATTGTTCTGACAGACACAGAAACCAGATGGCCAGTGCTACTTTCAAAGGAAGGGTGAAAGACAAATTGTACAAGTGGAAACCAGGTATGGATCATGGATCAGTCTCTTTTTCCATATTGAAATGGTTTTCCATCATCGCAATTGCCATTTATTCGGCTTACTTTCGATCACTTAACGAAGTAACGTTAAAATTAAATCTTAATCAGTCAGATGCCTTGATGAGTCACCTTGACTTTTTCTTAACAGTTCTTCCCTTTTTTCCCTCAGAATTCAAATATTCAACTCGCGTTGTTTGCACTTACCTTATCAGCTCTATCGCAATATACGAGGTACGTGGGATCGAAAATCATCAAACACAACTTCTTATTCGTGGGAAAACTAGGCAAGAGGTGATACAGCTGAAATCAAGGATTTTGCTCAAACTTGGCACACATGTTGGGTTTGGTAAGAAAATGATTATGGCAAAAGAGTAGGTCAAAATATTTTATTCCCCCTAAGTTAGGGGAACCCCTGCAAAAATGGTCATTTGACGCCTAGAACGTTAACAAATTCCAAAATATTCGGAAAAATATTCCGAAATATGATAGCAAAAAAAGCTCCAAACGGTAGAGATCACCAAAAACCACAAGGGTCACTCAGGGGGTGAGTTTTATTAATCTTACGTGTAAACTTTTCGTATTTTTAAATATTTAGCATTCGAAATCGACGATATTTCATTCCTCATACAACATATAAACAGGTTGTGGAGAAAGCTACTCAAAAGGCAGTCCAAAATCCGTCGAGAGTTATTACTGCTGATATAACAGATTCCTCACAAAACACACAACAGACACAAGATTCCGCCATCTTTGAAGATATTATATGCCATAATTTCGTCCTCACCAAACCCAACACTTGTGCCAAGTTTAATTGAGATTGGTTATTAGAGCTGTACCACCTCCTACCTTGTTCTGCCTGATTTTCTCATGGACATGTTAGTAGAATTGCATGCCAAAGCAGTGCATTTCTGTTTACTTTTGTTTCAGGTTCTTATTCTATTTGTCGCTTTGGGAGTATTTCTTCTTAGGGTACGGGAAGAATTTGTTGAGAACTCTCTAGTCGACGTGCGTGAGCTGAGAGAAATCTTTATGATTATTGGAGGTATGTACAACCTTGTTATCATGTCATTTAGTCGGCACTGTAGTGAGCATTGTAGATAGAATTACAGCCCTACAGTGACTTTAATGTTGATACAGACTCTAGCAGCCCTAAGATAGCGAGCACCTGGAGGGGATTAAACAAAATACATGTAGCTCTGGCTCGAGTTTTAAACCCTATTCATTTATGTCTCTTTTGGACAAAAAAGGTAGCCCGTAAATGTTTCTTCCAAAGAAAATAGTACCTACCTAAGGTAGAAACATTGTGTTCCTATACTATACAGTTTTTCTGCCATTTTCCACCATTTGTATACCTCCAACCCAAGCCAAAAATGGTTCACTTGCAATCTTGGTCAGTTGTTCAAAGTGTGGATAGCACATGATAAATCGCTATTCAGTGAATAAGTGTTGACTAAATAAACAATGCTATCCAACTAATAGTGATTTAGCTGGGGCCACTTTTCAAGTCACCGCGATCTCTTTTTCTGTCCGTTATAAATTCATAACCGGGCATGAAAGAACCTATTTTCGTTTATTTTCACGGTAGATACTGATTCAAGTCTCTTGATTTTTCAATGCCTGCAGTGTCGGTCTTTGTTGCTGTCGCACTCTCTGCAATTTACAGTGTAGTCTTGATGGCAAATATGTTGTCTTGGTATAGGTAAAAGAACTGTTTTTATTAATTTTGATACACATGTACGTGTAGAGCATATTTATATTAGGAAATAGAACTACGATCAGTAACGAGGGTATTGAATTTTTTTTTTNTGCTTTATCTAGTTTCTTCGTGTACATATTCCCTAAATGGTGAAATTTCTTTTCAATTCAGGATATAGCAACTCTGTGAACTCTTTGTTAAGTGTCACCTTGATTTTCATTAGTTTGCTTCACGTAACTTTATCAGTTCTTTTTTTTTTCTCAGAATTCAAGTATTCGACTCGCGTTGTTTGTACTTACCTTATCAGCTCTATCGCAATATATGAGGTAAGTAGGATCGAACGCCATCGAGTGGTATACTGTGGAATATCCCACGAGTCACTTGTATTTTCTCGGTATCTCTGACACACGAGCCTTTAAGGCGAGTGTGCATACCAAGGTAATACAAGTGACAAGTGGGATATTCCACAGTATGCCTCTCGAAAGTGGTGCATAACTGTTTTATACCATGCCATAAAAAATGCAATAGCCAACACAATCAATGCGACATACGCGCGGAGCGTGTAGGGAAGGTTGGCTGAAATACCGTAAAATATATACCACGGCTTTCCTGTATTCTGATTGGCTGTATTTTCTATGGCATGGTACGAAACTTGCTACGCACCATGTTAGGAGGGCTGTGCGGGAAAAATTGGGCCCAGCGTCGTGGCGTTCGAAAAACTGTTCACTTTTGCTAAGCTTGATTTCCATGGAAACTTCTGAATTGCTCGGGCTAAATGTTAATGAGGTATCGATGTATGTGGCGCCTGACGGCAATCATCATACTTTCGACAGATAAAACCAGTTGAAACAAAAATTAACTGAAATAAATTATCTTCTCAACTTTTCCGTTTCAGGGTTGACACAAAAATATTTTCTAAGGGATGCATTCAGTACATTGTACTTGGAACATGCATGCTTTCGGCGCTCACAGCAAATGCACTTCTGGTTACTTTTGTTTCAGGTTCTCATTCTATTTGTCACTTTGGGGGTATATCTTCTTAAATTTGTTAAGAGCCCTCCAGTATTCCCTCAAGTCGACTTACGTGTGCAAAAAGAAATCTTTATGATTATGGCAGGTATGTGCAACCCTGTTGCTATGTCATGTAGTGGCTACTGTAGTGACCACAGTAAAGAGAATAAGCTTAAAGAGCAACTCCTGCAACGACTGCACTGTCCATGCAGACCCGAGCAGTCCTAAGATCGGCGAGCACCCGGTAGGGATTCGACAAAAGTTTGTACGGGATAGCTCCGGCTCGAGGTCCAAACCCTACCCGTTTATTTACCATTCTCATGGACAAAAAACGGTGCCCCATCAGTATGTCTTCCATAGAAAATTGTGCCCCATTTACATACTTTAGGTAGAACCACTGTTACCTTATTCTAAACATCTGCAATGAACTTCAATTAACTAATCAACTAGTGAATTCCCAAACATTCACTTGTGTCCAGAAATGCACGCTATAAAGAAATATTTGACGAAATGTTCATGGAATTGTTGATTTGGCAATTTTTCGCCAGCCGTAACTAGATACGGTCTTAATATATTGGCGGATTTGACGAGTTTTCATGGGTTTCACGATTTGGGGAAATTTTAGTCCAATCTGTGAAAGCGAAATCAGCCTATCGAAACTGACGATTTTGGCGACTTTTTGCCAGCCATATCTATGTAAATTATCTCATCACTTACGGTCCTTACATATTAGCTCATATGAGCGGATTTGACGATTTTGACGTCTTTTTGCCTCCCGGATTATGCAAATTACCTCATCAGGGACGGTCCTAACATGTTGACAAAATTACCTAAATTTCGTCAATATATGTTTCCCTCGTTATGATTGAATGTTGCTCGGGCCCCCTGCGAAAGAGAAAGCAGTATGTATTTCCCTCGTTGTAAAAGCCTGTTACCTGAGTAAAACAGAAAGCAATGTATATATTTCCCTGGTAAAAGCGTGTTTGCCCAAGGAAACGGAAAGCAATAGGCGAAAGGCAAAGCAGTATGTATTCTCCTCGTTCTAAAAGCCTTTTACCCTACTGAGACGGAAAAATATGTAATTCCCTCGCGAGGGCAAGACACATTTTTCTCGTTCTAAAAGCGTGTTAACCGAGTGGAACAGAAAGCTATGTATAATTCACTTGTTGTAAAGCGTGTTATTTGACAAAATTTCCACAGTTTCCCAAATTTTGTCAAATCTGTTAACCGAGTGGAACAGAAAGCTATGTATAATTCACTTGTTGTAAAGCGTGTTATTTTGACCAAATTTTGTCACATCTGTCGATCTTGTCAACTTAATTTCGTCAAATGTGCCATTTTCGTCGCTGCATGCATTTCTGGATATATCTCACATTTGTATATTTACGTTAGAGACACTGATTCAAGTCTCTTGTTTTCTCAATGCATGCAGTGTCGGTCTTTGTTGCTGTTGGACTCTCTGCAATTTACAGTGTAATCTTGATGGCAAATATGTTGTCATGGTATAGGTAAAATAACTTTTATTTCTTCAAGTGGGATATAGATATTAGGAAATGGAATTACAGCAAGCGACAACAATATTAAAAATTACTGTTACTTTGCGATGGCCACTTCATAGAGATGAATTAAGGTGACATTTCCACCATACAACATTGACTATGAAGGAAGCTTATTACAAAACAGAATGTTATGAAATACAGTGATACATGCATGAGTGCGAGGTGATGGGTTTGACTCCTGCTCAAGCCGGGATTTTTCCAAGCTTTATTTTCGCAACTGTTTAATTCCTCTTGTAACAACACAATCACAGTAATTTATTAAACGATTAGAAAGTACGTTGTTGTAGATTGTATTTCATAAAACAGTGAAAAAAGATAAAACAACATACTCGTAAATTCCCATGTAGTGAAATCAATTCATCTTTAAAATTTTCCTTAGGGTTTTCCACAGGTCATAAGTCTTGATTTATTTTAATGGAACACTTTCAATTTCTTCAGGAAACACTTGCTACGCCTTCAGCGCGGTGAAAAGAAATTTTTACCGCCGGAGACCTTCAACAGGAACCCCTCCGCTATTACGGTAAGGCTTCATTTCAGTAAGAGCGTTAGCGCTTGTATGTTACATGTACAAGTGTTACTTTCCACTGGCTGAGTGAAATGAAATCTGTTAAAACGAAGAAAAAAACGAAGAAAAACTTCCATCATTGTGGGGATGCTCTTTCTTATACATGTATTAAAACCAAGGAGTTTCGGCACGCGCTAGGTTTTAATACATCCTGGAACTTAATATCAGCATGAATAAGAGACAGATAACCCAGTTCAAACAGCAAAAACCGAATGAACGGCCCAGAAATGAACAGTCAAACGTGCACAAAGCAAACGAATACCCAAACACAACCCAATCAAACAAACAGACGGCCGAAAAACCGGACGGGCGCCTGCATGCAACGACACCCGCCGCTGGGAGTTACAATTTCATATTATGCCATCTGAGTACTTGTTCTTGTGGTTGTTTTAATTCCAGATTGCAATTCTAAGATACTCAGGTTACCAGGTCGCCTATCTCTGCTGGGGTGAGTTTTTGCTTCTTATAAGAAATATGAATTTTAATACCGCGCCATAGAAAATACAGCCAATCAGAATACAGGAAAGCTGCTTTATACTTGACAGTATTAAATTCAACCTTCCCATCGTGCACTGCGCGTAGGTCGCATTGAATATTTTGGCCACTGTATGTTCTGTGGCATTGTCTATAAAAGTTATGCAACGCTTTCTCGTGGTACACCATGGAATATCTCACATAATAATTCTAAGTGTGCCTTGGGTTGCCTTATCGACTGGCATAATATATAGATTTAGGCCAGCCTAAAAGCGTAGCTCCTGGGCCGAGTTGTTCAGAACCCAATTAAGCTAACCCATGAAAAGGTAGAATTTTGATATCATGTAACTTTGCGGTGAGGTTTTCTGTATATTGTTTGGCCTTCTGTTTTGAGCTTTAATAATCACCATATACACAAAACAAAGCAGCAAAACAACATTTGTATAGAAGAAAAAGTTATCATTTGGTTAACTTCTAATCCTGGGTTAGCCTTAACCAGCTTCCAAACAATCCTGCCCTGTTTTCAACAAGTTAACCTGACATGCGCCCGCGATCTAATCGAACACCAGAACTTCAGCGGTCAGCGGTCAACTTCAAAAAGAACAGGTGACCTCAATGAGCTTTCAACTTGAGCCTGCGATATGGTCACGTGATAATGGTCAGCAGATACCTTGTTTTGACAGGTGTCAATTGATCATAACATGGATGTCCAATATCAAAGAAGTACAAACCAAGGCTGCATGTCTCTGTCCTCCTATAGATCGTTTTCACGTGACGTCATCACTTTCTAAAATCCAAAACGAAAGAGCCACCAAAGTTTTTGTCCTCATCAGGCACAAGAGGCGGTTTATT